TAATTATTCTGCCAGCTGACAAAGGACGTTCAGCAGTCGTGCTAGACAAAGTAAAAGACTTACTCGAAGAACCGCACTCCTATAAACAATGTCGTGCCAGCGAAATGAAAAACCTAGTTACCCGGATAAACAAAAGCCAATAAAACTCAAGGCCAAATGAACAGTTACGCCAAACGACTGGTTCTCCATAAAATCCACCGACACCGTCCCGGCTCGTTTTTATGGTCTACCGAAGGTACACAAGACAAATTTCTCACTCAGGCCAATCGCATCCCTTCCTGGCACTCTGACGTACGGTTGGGCAAAGTGGATATTCTGCCATCTTAGGTTTTTGGCCGAAGACTCACTAACAACAGTAGCATCTGCGAACCAATTCCTCGGGCGCATAAAACATCTGAAATTAGAGCCAGAAGAATTCCTGGTATTGTTTGATGTCGTTCCGCTCTTCACCTCCATTTCACAGCGGCTAGCGATAGACTTTGTGAACCAACTACTGGCTGACCGTTATGAGGAGAGGGACACGCCTCTAAAGTCCGAACATCTGCTCGAGCTTCTGCGATACTGTCTCAAGACCTACTTCACTTTTGGTGGACAAATGTACGAACAAATTAAGGGCGCTCCTGTGGGCTCGCCTCTGTCAGGCCTAATTGCTAATGATAGAACGGTTGGAAAACTTGGTGTTCACCAAGTATCAAACAAAGTTATGGGCTCGCTATGTGGATGACACCTTCGTCGTTGTCAAAAAACTGACATTGAGCACCTAAAAGAACTACTGAACTCGGTTGACCCGGATATCCAATTCGCGATGGAAGCAAAAACAAGCAAGCAGCTGCCCTTCCTTGACCTGCTTGCGCGCCAGTGTACCAATGGACAACTGCAAACCCCAGTATTCAGAAAATCTACCGACACGAGACAAATCCTACACTTCAACAGCAATCCTCCTCTGTCTCACAAACGTAGCTGTGTCCGCACTCTATTCGAAAGAGTCGATACACACTGCAGCACGCCAGAAGGTAAAAGAGCCGAACGATTGTACCTTCAGAACCTATTTGCAAACAATGGTTATCCCAGACATTTTATCGAGAGAAGCAGATGTCGGGCGCACAGACGACAGCCAAAGGAGCAGCAACCCGAAGTCTGGAGGGCCATTCCCTAAGTAAAAGGGGTCTCTCGACTGTTAAAACCCACCAGAGTAAGCATATTCCGTCGATCCCCAGCAACAATTCGGCGCCGTCTGATGCAACCTAAGGATCAATTGCCAGCCGCTGAAACCTCAGCAGTAATTTACGAAATAAGTTGCAATTAGGACGACTGCAAATATGTAGGAGAAACCAGGCGGAAATTGCAGACGCGCCTACAAGAGCACAAATCGGCCACTCGGAGGCCAGACCCGAACTATCAACTTGTAACGCACCTTGGAGAAACTGGGCATACTTTCGATCTCCAGGGAGCTACCATCTTAGGCCGGGGCAACAAAAAAGCAGAACGGCCAACAATCGAGGCATGGTACTCCAATGCCCAATCCATCAGCAGGCATCTGGACCTTCCTGCAGCTTACAAAGTCCTACGTCATCCAGTCCGTAGGGCTCAGGACCAAACAACCACACCGGACTTAAGGAGGCTATACAGAGAACCCGGCAGCGAGTTTACTCAGTGAGGAGGAATAAGAACCGCCAGACCGACCACCCGACGAAGGTTCAATCACCTCCCCCCGACGGAGTGGTGACTTACGAAGCACGCAACTAAAAGGCCCGCCAACCATCCCTTGAGAGGTCGAAGCAGCGAGAGGAGAGGAAGATCGATCAGCATGAGGCCGACCAACGTGACATGTCACTTGAAATTTCTGATTTATTAAGTGCATTTTACGCTTGGACGATGGAGAATCGACCAAGATCTTCGAAACGTCAGCATCTAAATAAACCCGTTCCGGTGAGCCCATCTTTTTCTTCAAAGCAGCAACCCGGATCTCTCAACTTTGTTAATCTGATCATAAACCATATCTTCGGGCAATAGTCTTAGAACATTTTTAACCTTAGAGTATTCGCTGGTATTTCAGGGAGTTCTTAGATTACGCTGGACTCCACCATCTCAGAAAGCACATAGTAGTTTTCCGAAAGAGGAATTCTACTAATACATAAAAAGGCCATGCTTACGGTTGTTCCTGCTATTTAAAATTCGATTATATATTTAGTGACTGTCCTCTCGTCATGTGATACGATAAAGACGCTTATTCCTGCGACGTCTGTCAGCGAACTCAAACAAGAACCTCGTTGGTAGGGGGCGCTCACCAATCGTTCTTACGGAAATCACTCGTTCCGTTGTGCCTTATGGACTCTCTCTTGAGCCCAACCAGCAGCCGCACAGCAGCGCATGATATAGGCAGAATGATATTACCGACAAAGACAAGGGAGACTGGAATGGCCATTTCTGGTTTCTTAGCCGTCGTCAGCCAGTCATACCCAACCCCGAAGTGTGGCACACCCGAGGCTCGAACTCGCGACCTGTTTGTTAGAAGTCCACGCCTCTAACCACTGGGCCACGAGCCCGGTGCCCTGTCGGTTGGGCTCGAGAGAGAGAGTCCATAAGGCACAGTGGACCGAGTGATTTCCGTAAGAACGATCGGTGAGTGTCCCCTACCATTGTATATTCCCGATCGAAAACCGAAAGGATAACGAGCTCGTGGCTCAGTGGTTAGAGCCGTGGACTTCTAACAAACAGGTCGCGAGTTCGAGCCTCGGGTGTTCCACGCTTCGGGGTTGGGTATGACTGGCTGACGACGGCTGATATGCCAGAAATGGTCATTCTAGTCTCCCTTGTTTTTGTCGGTAAAATCAATAACCTCGTTGCTTTGGTCTCGATTGCTACCGTTTTTTAAATTAAACTTACTCAATTAGCACGAATTTCTGCGCTTGCACTATTTCCGGCTGTATTCAGAGACTCGTTATTTCTAACCAAGATAATATTACTCTCAATGCTACCTTCGTGTTTTCATAT